AAGCGGACCAGGCGAGGCGGCCGGGCCCAGCGTGCGCGCCTGTGCGGCCTGCGCTTCGATACACTGTGATAGCGGTGAACGTTGTGCGGCGCGTAAAGTGAAGTGTTTTATTTGTGGTGGCAAGGGCCATTTCAAGGTAATGTGTCCAGTGCGTAAGTCAAAAAAGATTTATGAACTGTACGAGGATTACGATGAAGATGATGAGAAGGACGTGTACTACATATCATCATTGGAATATGTGGATACGATTGTGCAAGCGGAAGCCTCGAAGTGGTATGAAACTCTTTATTTATCCTATACAGGCGTCAAACATCGTTTCAAACTAGACACAGGTTCGGATCTTAATGTTTTATCAAAAAATGATTATATAAATTTAGGTTTATCTATGTCAAATGTTATTAAAGACAACACTCGTGCAAAATCTTTTTGCGGTAACTTTTTGTCAATTATTGGGTCTTGTATAATCAAATGGAAGTATAAGAATGTTACTTATGATTTGAAGTTTATTATATCGGAACAAAACTGTCAGAGCATATTAGGTAAAGATGCCCTTGAACAAATAGGCCTTGTAAAAAGAGTGTTTTCATTGAACTTGGACAATTATAAGAATTTATTTCGGGGTCTAGGGAAATTACCCGGTACTTACACTATTCCTATTGAGAGTAATGCGAGCCCTTGCATATGTCCGGTCAGAAAAATTCCATTAGGTGTGAGAGACCAACTTAAAGAGGAGTTGACTCGCATGGAAAGGTTAGGGGTCATACGAAAGGTTCATCATCCTACATCCTGGGTTAATGGTATTGTTATGGCAGGAAAAAAAGATGGTAGCTTTCGAATATGTCTAGATCCGCGGCCACTAAATCGAGTAATACGACGTCAACATTATCCTTTGCCTACATTGACTGAAATAGCGACCAAGTTGAAAGGTGCGCGGTATTTTAGTAAATTAGATGCAAAATCTGGCTTTTGGATGATACAGCTGGATGATAAGAGTGCTGACTTGTGTACATTTGGGACCCCATTCGGCCGGTACCAATATTTACGTTTGCCATACGGCATAAATTCGGCTTCTGAAGTGTTTCATGCTCGAATTAGGCAATTGCTAGAAGACCTGGAGGGCGTGGACTCATTCGTTGATGACGTCATCGTCTGGGGTTCTACTAAGGAGGAGCATGATGAGCGCCTTCGAAACCTTCTGGAGAGAGCCAATCAGGTAGGTATTAAATTCAATCCAGAGAAGTGCGAGTTCTGTGTGAATGAGGTTACTTATTTGGGCCATATATTTAGTATTGATGGTATGAAAATAGACCAAACCAAATTAAAGGCGATTACTAATATGCCGAGTCCAACGGATCGTTCATCACTCGAACGCTTCCTCGGTATGGTTAATTATGTTAGTAAATTTATTCCTCATTATTCGGAAAAGGTTGCACCGTTGCGCAATTTGTTGAAAAAAGATAGTGAGTGGTGTTGGGGTGAGTGCGAGGAGGTCGTGTTAGGCGAGTTGAAGCGTGCGTTGTGTGCGGCGCCCGTGCTGGCGCTGTTCGAGTCGCGCGAACCCGCCGTGCTGTCGGTGGACGCGAGCGCGCGCGCTCTCGGCGCGGTGCTGCTGCAGGCCGGCCGACCTGTCGAATTCGCTTCAATGACACTCACGGACACGCAGCAACGATACGCTCAAATTGAAAAGGAGATGCTGGCAATAGTTTTCGCTTTGGAAAGGTTTCATCAATACATCTTTGGAAAAAATGATGTAATCGTTGAAACCGATCACAAGCCTTTGGAGGCTTTGTTCAAAAAGTCACTTGACTCTGTGCCGGCCAGACTTCAGCGAATGATGCTTCGCGTGCAGCGTTATGATTTTCAGGTAAAGTATACACCGGGAAAATATATGTTTGTTGCCGACACCTTATCTAGGGCTCCGCTTCCTGATATATTAAATAATAAGGTATCGGAGGAACTCGAGGAACAAACATGTTTCTTAATACAAAACCTAAGATTTAGTAGTGGGCGGCTTGAAACTGTAAGGGTGCATACTAAGCGAGATGAGGAATGTCAAACTTTAATTAATTATGTTTTGAACGGCTGGCCCATTAACAAGTACAATGTGAAAGAAATTGCTCGCCCGCATTGGAGCTACAGAGAGTGTTTAGAATATGTTGATGGAACGTTGTTAATGAATAACTTAGTATTTATTCCTAAAACACTCAGGTCGGAGATGATAGAACGCGTGCACGAGGGACATCTCGGTATTGACAGGTGTAAGCGGCGCGCGCGTGACGTCATGTTTTGGCCAGGAATGTCACGTGACGTGGAGCGCGCGGTGCGTGCGTGTCGAGTGTGCTCGCTGCATGCACCCCTGCCGCAGCGCGAGCCGATCATAGCACACCACATACCTGGGTTACCATGGGCAAAGATAGGCTCGGATATTTTTGAAGTTAATAAGAAATATTTCTTGATACTAGTCGATTATTTTTCAAATTTCGTGGAGGTTTCGCCGTTAACAAGTATTTCTTCAAAGCAGGTGATATTAGCCATGAGGGATCAATTTGCCAGGCATGGCATACCCCAGGAGTTGATATCTGACAATGGACCTGCCTATTCGTCTAAGGAGTTTAAAATTTTTGTTGAGAATTGGGGATTCAAGCACTCGACATCATCACCTAATTATCCGCAGTCAAACGGACGTAGTGAGCGTGCAGTGCGAACAATAAAAGGCTTGTTATCCAAGTCTGTACATTCGAATGGAGATTTCTATTTAAGCTTGCTTAATTACAGAGCAACGCCACGAGATGGCATAGCGAGCCCTGCCCAATTGCTAATGGGCCGAAGGTTAAATACTCGTCTTCCGTGTCACCATAATAAACTGTTGCCAGAAAGGGACAACACAACTGATTATAACAACTTGATACGAAATCAAGTTAGAAGCAAATCGTGGTACGACTCTCGTGCCCGGTCACTTCCTGAATTAAAAGTAGGCGACAACGTTGTGGCGCTGGAGGGGCCGCGCCGGGAGTATGCGCGAGTGCTGCGGCGCGCGGCCCAGCCTCGCTCGTACTTCGTTCTCGATGGTGCGGGCAGGGTGCTGCGTAGGAATCGTAGGCACCTAGTGAGGGTTAGTTCTCCTGATCCTGAGCCGTCTCCTGCTACATCGTCGCGACGGACGACTTGTGAGGAGGATGTCACCCAGAAAGATACTGGATTAAACCATTCCTCTGGCGAGTCGGAATGTTACGATTCCTGTCCTGAACTATACGATGATGCATCTTCAAATTCATCAGTTGGTCAAATACATAAGCGAACTGAAAGGGCAGCTGCAAGGGTAGCTAAAGAAAAGTTAAAATTTATGAAGTAAACCAAGTTTTTCTAAACCCCTATATTTACCTACTTATTGTTATAACATTAATTCATTAATAGTGCCTTGATCAGGTTGATGGGTAGGTGTTTATTAGTGTGTTCATTTTGTGTGTTTGCTTATAATTGATACTATTATATCTATTATCGTTTTATTGTACTTCTATTATTTTATTATTTAAGCATGTGTGTAATTAATTATTATGTACCTAGATATTGTGGATATTGTTACCCTCTTATTTAGCTATAAGATGGTTGTAAACAATATGAAGGATATGATATATTGGTTATGTGTAACGTGTATTACGGATTCCCATTTGAGTGTAAAAGCGATAAGGTAATTAGGTATATAAATAAAATTAAAATTGGATTGCAACTAACTATAGCTCCTACTTACGCGTGTCACGTCATTGTTACTGTACCTACCTAATTATGTTTTATTTAATTGTATGGTTACTATTAGGTATGCTAAGCTCAACCTACATAAAATGTCATTGTTTAAGGAGGGAGATGTAGCATATTTAATATTAGGAAGTTGAGGGTGTCTCGAAATAAACCAGTCTGTGTTAAGCTATCTTGTTGTTTTACTACAAGTACAACACTGGTTCATTCGGAATAAAAAAAATACTGTCAAAGTCAGTTGTTGGTTCTCGCGCGTTTGGCGGGTGTTATCTCGGGCTAATTTTATTACAAATCAATTGTGTTTAAGTAGGTTCTTATTATTTATTCGTGTGTAGATAGAATCCTTCCACCATTACAAGTCATAAATATATATGTTACCGCTTAGCTTTTAAAAATAATCTTTTTTAAAGTTCAAACAATCATTTTCAACTATAGTCATTGTTTACAGCTATAAATAAAAACATTTGAAACTTAATGTCAACAAACACTTGAACGACTTGAAAGAGTCATTCATTAGCTTGAATAAAAACATTACTCGAGGCGACTTAAATTACCGACACGTCACAAAACATAAACATCTTGTGACCTTGGCCATCTGGCGCGGCGCGGCGCCATTTTTTTTTGCAACGTGAGCACTTGACGTGTTTTTTATGAAATTGGGAAATCACTCTAACGGTTACTCAAAGGAACAGCGAAGTCGTCTTCTGCTTCTGTGAAGCAATCATGTTAGCTAATGAGGACACTTCGACGCCTTCAAGAACCAACGTAGGTACTAACACAGATGGGCCGACGTTAAATACCTAAATTATTATTAACTATCTTCTCATCCGCGTGGAATATAGTGAGTTCTGGCAGATTTTTGGTTTTACCCACATAGTTCTCAATCTGGTACGGTTTTAGGGAAGTTCTCCTTATGAATTCCCGGGATAAAAACTATCCTATGTCCTTTCTTCAGTTTCAAACTATATCTGCACAAAATATTATCCAAATCGGTTAAGTAGTTTAGGTGTGGAATAGAGACAGACAGATAGACAGAGTTACTAACGCATTGGTAGTATCGGATTGAAATAAAATAAATACAGAATTTTGAGGAAAACTGAAAGCAACACATTGAAGCAACTCAAAACATATAGATTTATTATAAGTATAGATTAGTTAATTTTTGTATTTTTCATCATCATCATTCTAATTTTAAAAGTAGATACCTACCCAGCTATTTAATAAATTCACAGAAAAAAGATATTAATATTTGAGATCATTGAGATTACAATAGTTGAGTTGGTCCTTACTTTGGTTAAAAGTGGAGGTGCAACCAATACTCGGATTTCATCATAAAATTAGGCATAAGCAGTAAACAAGAAAGGATTGGCCTTCGGTAATCCAATCACACAGCAAACCTTAACGCAAATTAATGGTTTCACGCCAGTTTTTTGTGAGGAGGATATTACTGTGGTCGAACAGACCTATTCGCGCTAAAGCATTGCTCTCCCACACTTAGAATAGTTTACTTTGACTTGATTTGTTACATTAAAACACACACTTAGATTACAATTTGTGATACTGAGAACAGGTGAGATTAGATATCGGAACAATAGAAGTTATACGTACATAATCGTAATCTTTAAATAGTTTAAAATAAAATGATAAGAGGTGATGAAATAGTTGGCAACTCCAACCAGATGCAGATCTACGAGTAGTTTGTCAAGTTGACGTATAATAAACTTGACGTTGACAGTGCGTAACTACTTGTGGACTGATTAATACGTGTCCATATATTATTATTTTTTTTAAAATAAATTTAATAAATTAGATCTCTAACTTTATTATCCTTTTCATAAGTTTAATTTCTTCAGTAATCTCAATAATTTGTAAGAAACTCAAGATGATCAACGGACGTGCTTTACATTTCGTGTTCAAAGTCGCCGACAGGACTCTGACTGCAAAATTCTACAGAGAAATTTTGGGAATGAAGGTAAGTACGTTAATAAGAGAAAAAAAGTAACATTAATGAAATATTTCTATAGTTAAATATAACATACATATTTGTTCGTACATAAATATCGAGACTAATCTGATTCTTATGAGATCAGCGTCACTAATTACTTAATACATAATAATGTCTAGTCTAGTAGTTTCCACCCGGTAACCAGTAACTTAAACCAAGGTCACACAGACGGCTTGTCACAGTCAATTTGCTGGCGTTGGACTCACTTTTTATTTATGTTTTCTCTAGTAACTTGTGTAATAATAATGAATGGTTACTTAAATATTTGGTTTTACATCCTTATCTCAATTATTTATTCTTTGCTTGTTTTCTACTCAGCAGTTTTATTGATATTAAAACCTTTTTATTGAAAAAAGATTTAAAAAAGTTTAAGGAAAACATTCTAAAAAGGCAACTTAAGCCCACACAGAATAATAATCATATGAAAATGAGTTACTTTTTTGCTTATATAAAATAAGATATAAGGAATTAATGTTTGATTAATGTAATAAAATAAGTGAAAGGTATAACTTCTGGATAGGCTTTACCACCAGATAAAACAAGTTACATTTTGTGTAGAATGCAGATTATCTGAATTAATTGACCAGAGACAATAAATTCTGGTAATCACAATAAGTAAACTGGTAATAAAGCGATGAAAACTGGCACACAGATAATACACACACATTAACTGCCCTCCTGGAATCTGTGGAAAGTCACTATTATCATACTTGGCGATGAAGGTGTTAATTTTAAGGAACACAGTCATAATACTGCAATCCCTTTAATATCTCTACTAAACTAAGTTAAAACTCCATCATGCCTTGACAAAAATCATTTAAGCAGAACAAAACAAGAAATATCTGGTTTTAATTTTTTACTCTACTGTAAATAAATATTCAAATTAATACACAGTACTATGCTAGTTGAAACAATATAAAATTAAAAACATTAAGTCTCTAAGTTATACAATTTATTGTAACAATCACTATACTTGATTAGGTTATTTATGCTTGAAAAGTGGGAACACAGTTTTACAGGCAGTTTTACTATTATGATGTCTTGTAGGCTTGCTTATATGCTTGTTATTATTGAGGTGATCTTCAAACTGTAAAAGTATCAAAACAAGTTTTTATCAAGGGGTTCCATATATCTGGGGAATAAAGTATTCAGAGACATTTTTATGGAATAAGAGTAAAAACATATCATAGCATTTATGGTTTTGCAAACTTTATGTGTGTATAAAGTTTAGTTGCATAAATGTCAGTTCAACAAGCATATAAACATATATACCTACCTACACTTATCACATTCACTCAAACAAAGGACATTAATTGCAAATTAATGAAAAGCTTGTGATAAAATAATGTTTTAAATCTCATTTTTTATTTATTGCAGGTCTTAAGACATGAAGAATTCAGTGAAGGATGTGAAGCTGCCTGCAATGGGTGAGCAAACTAAATCTTTACATTTTGGTCCCTTTCAAGAAATATTTATTTTGCAACGCTAACATATTTAAATCTTGTTGTTTCTGTCATGGGAATGGTTAACATTATATTAATAATTTGTTTTAGTAAACACATTGTAAAGAAGAACAGTACTATCAAAACATAAGCTGAATAAATCAAGACTTAAAAAAAGTTAATTTTTCAGTCATTATTCATACAAATTTTTCTGGTATATAGTTGATACCCAGACATTGTAAGACAAGTCCTAAGTTGTTTTTGTTTTGATAGCCTAGAAATGAATAATATGACTAGCATAAATGACTGTACACCTATAGTGAAACACTTAATCATGTTAGTTACCCTGATCTTTAGACATGAAAATACAAATAATATAAATTAAACTTGTCCTTAGGCCTTATGCAAACCGGTGGAGCAAGACGATGGTTGGTTATGGTCCAGAAGACTCACACTTTGTTGTGGAGTTGACATACAATTATGGTATCACACACTATGAACAAGGAAATGACTTCATTGGCCTCACAGTCCAGTCCAGCGAGAGTCTCAAGAGAGCCGCAGCGAACAACTGGCCAGTGAAGGAACAGAATGGTCAGAAGTACCTTGAAGCTCCTGGTGGTTACAAGTTTTTCATTGTTGACAAACCTCAGCCTGCAGACAGAGGTGAGTTTATTGAGACAGCAAGTTAAATATTAGGATAAGATGATGATGCAATATGTACTTGGAACTGTTTCACCAGGTGAAATAGTGTAATCAGTATGTTGAAATAAGAGCAATTTCTGTTGTTTGTTATTGAAATGGAATATAATGATGAAATTCTTTTTATTTTCGCAAATACATACCTGAGTAAGTCTTTTACACATCATCATTAAAATTAAACTAGATGAGCTCAATGTATATTTATGGTTTTTCTAATTTATGGGTCCCTAGTAGTCTATGGTTTCACTAGTTGTAACTCTAGAATAGCTAAACCGATTTCGTTGAGAATTTGTTGGCATGTAGTTTAGAACCAGAAGATGAACATATGATAGGTAGAATAGGAAGGGTAATGAAGGTAGGGCAGGCTAGTTAGCTAGTGTAAGCTAGGGTAGGCTAGGTGGGGTAGATAGTGCAGGTAGTATGATATGTGTTTAACAATTTGCGAGAAAAAATCGTTTTGTCTTAAAATTATATGTAATGCAATCGTGGATTCTCTACCTATAAACTTAGTTATTTAACGAACTATAGTTCTACATTTATTTGCAATACATTAAACCTTAAAGTTTGATAGCCTAAGCCTGGCCTAATTTCCAAAATTGAGGACTAAAAGAATTATTTAGCCGCTTTGCTGATCAGCCGGGGTTAAGGGTAAATAAATAATACCGCGGTTTAAGCCTGAAGCAGGAAAAGAAACGGGATGGTTTTTAGTCAGTAAGAGTCTGACACACATGACTTTTCTCGCCTCACAGAGAAGTCATTGGATGATTTCTGGCCCCCAAAAAAGCCTCTTGCAGATACAGCTAAAATGGAAGTAGGTTGTAGGCAAAGAGGATATAACCACGAGTGGTTATATCCTCTTTGGTTGTAGGTAACTACGAATAAATCACAGGAGAAAAGCTGTAACATCATGCTAACAAATCAATAATACATGTACGAACTTGTTTTAGCTAAACATGTTTACCATTATCATTCAGTAAACGAGTGATTGTCATCGATGATAATTATTATGAATTGATAAGATAATGTACATACAATCTGGTGAAACATCACACAGTCTGAGATGTTTTTTATCATGTGATGATACGTTTGTTTCGTAGATAAACTAGGCGTCAACGGTAACTATTCCACGTGTGGGGATCATGTGATGACTGCATGATTCCACAAGATGATTTGATTACAAATACTTTTCACCGGTGTACAAACATACAATATAAATCATATTTATGACTTAACTATACAGTGTAATATCTTTATTTTCACTGAAAAATCGTTAAATATTGTTCTTTAACTTGATTGCATACAGCCATACATTAACCGTAGCTAAAAAGTGTATCTAATACAAAAATACATTGTTTATGGTTATTACTGAGACATATCTAAGTAAATGGCGATTTGAATCGTACGAATTAATATCGTTTCATGTAGTCAATATTATAATATAATCTTGTTTTTGAATAGTAACTATTGAACAGAATCATTATACAAATTCTCTCTCTAATTATCATCGATTTCAAATTTATACAATTTCTATGAAATATATTTTATTTTTAAATCAGCGTTATCCCATTACTTAAGTACCTACCTATACCTATGTGAACTTTGACAAAAAATTAACAAAACAAAAACTTTTTTCTAAGTACCAAATTGAGGGTTTTTATTTGTACACATCTTGTTGTATTTTAATTGTGAAACGCTTAAGAAAAAAAGAAATACTCTGTTCACGACTCAATTGTTAAACTTAAATTACTCATGTATCTTATGTATTGTATATTATTCACAGATCCAGTCGTAAAGGTATCACTCGCCAGCTCAAACTTGGAGAAATCCATCGCTTATTGGAATGGTCTGCTTAGTTTGAAGATCTTTGAGAAAACTACAAAGACTGTCACTCTAGGCTTCGGCAACGACCAGACAAAACTGGAATTAGTTGACATAGGTAAGTACAAAACCTGCGATAAGAAAGAGGAATGTGTGCCAAATCCTCCTTTAAAAGTCCAAAACCGAAGCCTTTATTTCAATTAATCCTTAAACAGACACATTTAGTCGTCAAAATACTATCTAATCTAGGTAAGATCTAAGACTCAAAGGTGGCGTTGTAGGATATATTAGGATAATATTATTCAGCCAAAGTTGCGGGGCAAGCGTACCACGGCCTAGGCCTGGAACGGGAGAAAGAACAGGGTGGGTTTTAGTCACTCCTTCTCGTCCCTTAATCCTGGCCGAGGGAAGTGACCATTTCATCTCTTAAAAAACTTAAGTTGTTCGCCCTGTAGTCGGATTTGGCCGGCAACATGTATATTATGTTACCTTCACGTAACGTATCATGAATAATATTTATATTGATTTATCAGTGCATCATTTCGTATTGACATTTCAGGTTGTGTGATGCCTGAGTAAATATATGTAGTTTACCTAAAATAAACAATAAATTTTTCATGTGACTGATAAAACCTAGATAGTCGTCCAATTAAATAAAGGTCACAATGAATTTTTAATAATCAGCCTCTTTGTTGTGTGTTTAGGTATTTTTTATTCCGAACTCTTTTATTACTTGATCGACTTCTTAGATATATTATTTAGATAGACTATTATACTTTCGCCGTTTAACTTATTGATGTAGAGCTGAAACATGAACATGAACGGCAGCAAAATAAAAACAATATTATACGATACTAATTGATCAGAACGTCAAACGTATGGGAATTTGGTATTTTACACCTCAAAGTTAACCTTTCACTGCCAACGCGGTCAATGTTGACCGACGCTAGCGGAGGATTTGCTTTCAACAGTTTTCGTTGGCAGTTAAAGACTTAACTATCCACTCTGCGGTTTTATCATATCAGTGCAGTAATGTGAAAATGCTTTTCGGTGTGTATAGGAAATAGGCTATGTGTTAAAACGACTGCATACGAATGTACTGTATTCTTTAAAAAAGTGACATTAGTATCGTCACCATGTATAGTGTAGGTATATGTGTAAAATGTTATCGAATAAAAATCATGCGTTTCTTTTTAATATTGACATTATCTTTATGCGTTTTATCTGACATAATGTAGGCTACATGTCTAGATGCTGGAGAACTTTGGAAGCCGGAATGTCTAGTTTAGACAGGGCGCCTACTAGCACTATCACAAAGCGTGGCACAAACGTGACAATAGGTTTATCTATTTACATTTCTGACAATATGTAATTTGACACTTCGCATTTAGTAGGTACGAGTGGTTGATAAAACCTTACGCGTGGAAAGTAGTTTGCACTCAAGGACAAAGAAAATGAGAGTCACCGGTGACTTATGTTGTTCTATACATTTAAGTTAACATCAAAAAGTATGTTTCTCCTTCTGCCTTGAGCTCGGTTTCTTAAAAAAAAATTTTCCTATGATTGTACAATTTTCCTGTCGTTGCTACTAAAGAGAGTTAATCTCGATTAACTTTAAAGTGTTCCAATTGCAACCAACCTTTATAATACTAAAATTGGAACCCTAATGAAACGAACATAAAGTTTATTTTGTTTAAGGGATATCTATATACTTAGGTACTAAACTTAATAATTAGTTTAATAATGTTATTACATAGTATTAACTAGCTACACTCGCGCGGTTTCACTCGCTGCTCCGGTTCTACAGATCATGGCGTAATGTTTTTTGACCTATAGCATTCAGGAACATTGTAGCTATTTATCAGTGGAAGAATTCTAGAAATCCGACCAGCGGACCCAAATCTTACCCCTACATATAAACTCATAAATTGTCCCTTTTTATAATATTAGTTAAAGCGTAAATAACATTGATATTATTATATTCCAGGTGAGCCAGTTAACCGCGCTAAGGCATACGGCCGCATCGCTTTCTCGTGTCCATTCGACGAGCAGCCAATCATCGACCAGAAGATTCAGGCAGCTAAGGGCACCATCTTAACGCCCCTGATATCGTTGGACACGCCAGGCAAGGCCACTGTTAGAGTCATCATTTTAGCCGATCCCGATGGCCACGAGATCTGCTTTGTGGACGACGAGAGCTTCCGACAGCTGTCTCAGGTGGACCCTGCCAGTGATGCCGACCTCGACAAGTTCATCAAATCGGACAAGTCGCGGGCGTAAAATACACCTCCCATCCGTTTCTTAGCTATCGGGCAAGGGTACAACATATTCTCTTATATTATTTCTTCTCGTACTTAAGTTATTTTCCGCTTAGCGTCACAAGATACGAATTTATTGATTCTATGTATACTATGTATGCAAACGCTCATACTCATTGTTCTGCATATATAAGAATGATAACAAATATTGTACAAATTTTATCGGCTTCTTACAATGTAAGGATAAGTAAATTATTTATTAAAATTTAAACCTTATGTGGTAGCATTAAAGCTCATTGCTCTGTGACAAGTACAATATGAATAGCCACTTCATTGTTGTGATAAGTCTGTTTTAAGATATCTCTCTTCAGAATAGTTTAGCATTCCGTGTTGTTTTAGGTGGCTCTTTAAGTATTATTTTGAATTATGTTTAACATTGTCGTAAAGTAATATGTTATTGTATATTGTATATGTTTATCATTTATGTATTGTTGCGCCAACTACACAGCAATATGTTAACTAAGTAATAAGAATATATCGTTTAAATCATACACAATTCTTGTAATTTATTGAGGTCCTTGCAGTATTAAGAAGTAGATGGATTACAGGAAGGCAGATATCTCATCTTATGGGTTAGTAAAGTTGTATCTGTAATCTCTATTTGTATTTAACAAAGTTTTTACATATGGAAAATAAAATACAGACATGTATTACACAATGTAATCCGCGCTCCGCGAGTGGTTCAAAGAGCCAATAGCTAACTGCTACATATGGGTTTCAACAGGACAGTTCAGCCGGGGTTACAGGTGCAAGCTATAATTTTCTGTGGCCCAGCCTAGAGCAGGAGTAGGAATCGGATCGTTTTTAGTCAGCAAGAGTCTGACACTCCCTATCATCCAGGGCAAGAGGTCATTTTTTTGGTGGAGGTTTTCAAACCTCAAAAAAAGACAGTAAAACATTTTACATATTTATGTCCATTTAGACTCGTAATTTGTTTCATTTGCTGTATGTGGAATAAATCTCATTATTGGCTATTTGCGCGACAGTGGCGACGCGTAGCGTTTACAACATTTTCGGAAGCTGTCAAATACTAACAATGTAAACATTATAATTATTTTCTTTGCAAATATAAATAAAAACAAAGATTAAAATATTATTGTTGACATTATTTAAGCGCAATTTATTCAATAGTTTTACTGTAAATTTAATATAATAATAAAAACCGACAGCTCATCGTCCGTATTTGTTTCCATTTCTGCCGTGTTGTGCGCTGCAGTCGTTATCTGTCCGCCACTACTCGCTTTGCATATAGCCAATAAAGGCCCTTTGATTGAGTTTATGTTGTATTTCGCCATCTGAGTGAGGATTAAGGCCCATTCCACTTGTTATCATTTGTTGCGTATGTCCAATGCTGTCAAGGGTTTCTTTTGATCGTTTGCCGTTAATATAAAGACATTTGACGTTTTGACTTCTGTCCATACATTCTATTAGATGGAACACAGCCTTTTTTTGGGAGGGGAAAATCATCAATTTACTTCTCTCGCCCAGGGTGAAGCCAGAGTATCTCTCTCGCTCTCTTGCTGACTAAAATTCCACGTTCCTTCTCCTGCTCTGCCGAGATCGCGGACCGAAGGTTTGATAACTACTGAGAACTTATAGAAACAATGTAGGAACTTTTGTCGCCGTTACCCCCCCCCCCCCCATTAATTTTTTTGCGGGTTACATGACCCGTAGAGCTAAGGGACATTATTATTAGTATATATTATCAGCGTTCTCTGATAAACTATTTTTTTAAGCTGCTGCAAGACGCCTGCCAATTGAAGTTGTAGTAAGCCTAATATGAGCCTATGCGAAGTGGCAAGCAGGTTTAGGGTCAGAACGAGACGTGCACCCGTGGACTACCTGTCGACAACGAGAGGACGCCGTGCGACGAGGCGATGCAGGGTAGGTGCGGGGTGGCTCTTGTGACCTTTATCTAGCATTTAATATGAATAAAGTTATTTCCACGCAGGAAATATAGCCAGATTTTAGTGGATGGGGTTAGTTCGCGCATTGAATACTTTCATGTTTTGGCTTTGAACACAAACTTCGTTTGTTATGTTAACGCACATGTTGTTTCAAGTTAACATGACTTAAAAGTAAATCATGGCCTAGGTAACCATAAAATTGAGAAAATGTACCTATAATGAGCAAATTTACTCTCAACACGAAAAATCTGTTTACTCCTTACCCATCTTCCTCATATATCTAATATGTGATGATAAAAAAAAAAACTGAAAAACTTCCAAGTAGGTACTCCGTCAAGATCGGGAATCAAATTTTATGTGGGTGAAAAATCATCCAATAACTTGCATCTAAATCACCGGCAGGATTTCGGTATCCGTAGTGTATCCGCAAAATGAGTTGTCAGAAACGACTCATTTTGCGCGGGATCGAATCGGACGCGCAGATATGATCGCAGACTCGCACTTACGATGGCCCAAAACCATAGCGCCATCCACGATTGGAGTGGAGAGTCTCCTTCGGCAGCTAGATACGGCTAGTTGGAAGAATATTGCCTATAACGTCTTTTGCACGACGGCGTCCCAATTCCTCTCGCTCTAAATTTGCACCTTGGTTTAGACTAATACCGGGCGTGAGAGAACGCCGCCGCCGATTACATTCCTGAGGACACGGTAGTGCTCACAGCCCGAGCCGAGCACACTTCCACTGTACTGTACTGAGCTCTGACCTCTGGGAGGTCCTCACAATGACGACTGCCGGGCGTTTCCTTCTGTCTGATCCGAAACAGGAACCTACCGACTCTGCCGTCCCCGGTAAGCAACTGCGTCAGGCGGAAGGTGAAGACGCCATAGCGCCTTAAGCCACTACGGCATGGCACGGCGGTCATGGTGCAGAGCGAAAGGAACTGGGACGCCGTCTCCTCCTTCTGCGAAGCAGTTATGCTCGCAAAAAGGGAGGCGGCCCGCTGAGAGAGCAATCCTCCTCCTCACGCCCCAGCCGCCGCAACAGGCGGCATTACGGGCGTCGGGAATCAAGGGACGATCTCCGGCCCATAAGCGCGGGTCTGCGGGCGACGAGTAAGGGCAACTCGCTGCCCAAGCAGAACCAGACCCGAGCGTACGGCGTGTAGCGTTCTGCGCGTGCCTCAAAGAGCCAATAGACCACTACAGACGGGACCCTATAGAGCTGATGTTCAGCCAGGGTTGCGGGGTCCCGAGCGTACGGTGCGTAGCGTTCCACGGGCGCCTCAAAGAGCCAATTCAGGTGGTTGCGGGGTAAGCGCAATGAGGCACCGCGACCTCGGCCCAGAGCAGGAGGAGGAACAGGGGGATTTTTAGTCAGTAAGAGTTTGACACTATGGGCGGGAGAAGTCATTTGATGATTTTCCCCTCACAAAAAAAGGATGGAGGAGGAGGGGTCTTACCGCTGCTACAACAGCGTGCCCGAACATGTACCTCCCTGAATTTCGTGTCCCGTTAGCACATGAAAAACGACGGAAGGCGAAGACGTCGTATCGTGTCTCTGCTACGCTGGCAAATAACCTATATTATACATATGTATAAAAATACCTATTTCAAAAACTGTTCTCTGATTTGAAGAAATCTCTGCACCGATGTCATAATTAGGTGAGATACACCGTCCAGTCTGAAGGCAGATTCGCGATACTTAGTGATAATCGCATAGATATAAATCGCGAGGTGAATCGCGGCGAGCAGTTAGCGCGCCAAATGACTTGACCGTATCGATCAAATAGCTCGTAGAGTTGCGAAACGGCGGTATCGCGTGACGCCGCGGCCCAAACTAATGTAACGCTGCGGGCCTCGCCTACATCCGTGAGAGAAGTCAGCAAGTCTTGTCTGCATTCCGATTACAATCGATTTACATACCCCACTAGTTTAGAATTTACATAGCAGAGCAGAGCATTCTATAGTCTATTAAACATTATTCAATTCTTGATCATGATCAAGGAATAGTTAGTGCTGAAGCATCGTGAACGCTTCTTCCAACGTTGTTATGTACTATTTACCTCTAAACTGAATGTTTCAGAGAAGGATTGATGACATTAAGAACAATGTTTTATTATAATAACTCATGACACTATAGTTTTACAGAAGTTTTAAGATCAGGTTTAAAATATTTGACATTGAAAATGAAAAACGTATCTCCCAAAAAACCAGCTTAGTGCGTTCCGACCTGGCGCACTAAGAGTTCTGTACCAAAATCACGTTTGACGTGTGGTACTCTATTTTTTTAGTATCCGAAGTGTAGTGGCAACAGAAAATCATCATCTGGACAGACAACTCGTCACGGTTCATGAGATATAACTCGGTGACATACCTACGGAGCCTTAGTAAGTAATTGCGTTCTCGTTTTTCTCTTTGGGTATGGAGCCAACAGCCATAAGCCGTGAGAATTCAACTTGCAATTGGAAAGTTGCAATTGATACTTATTTTAAATACTAGAATATATAGACGCAAAGTGTTCTTATTGTTGTACTAGTGTCCCCGGCTTCGCACGGGTATGTAATGCTGTTAGAAAATTCACTCTATCTGTTAAAGCAAGCCGCATCAAAATCCGTTGCGTAGAAGCGTAAGGCCAGCAACGCGCCTGTGATACCTCTGGTGCCGCATGTGTCCATGGGCGGCGCCGATCACTTACCATCAGGTGATCCGTCAGCTCGTTTGGCTCTTATTCAATAAAAATAGTATAGGGGCAGAGAAAGAAACTTTGTTTTATACTATGTAGTGATGATGTAGCGTACAATTCTCAAAGCATCATATATAATATGTCTATGTATTTGAAATGCTGAGTTTACCTTTAAGTAATTGTTACACTTATGAAGTTATATAACTTAGTTTGTAAACAATTGTTGGTGAACCAAATAAAAAAAACCATCACAAACTGCAGTTTGGTGCGGGTATTAATGCAGTTGTAACACTGACAATGACACACTGCCCCTATGCCTAGAATTCCAGCCATTGGTTAAGAATAGATGGAAATACGCGATCAATGGTCGTAAATCTAGGTCGCTTTGCGAGTTACTTGGGATAGTTATGCAAATATCTATTAGGTACTTACTTGAGTTTTGGAACTAGCATTTTATGGGACCTTCGGAAATACTGCTAGAAGTATTTATGAATGGGACTGTTAATTTTATCACGTACTTTTATATAGGTAGTTCTACTTAGCTACTCTACTAGTGAATAATTTTTACATAGTTATTCCAAAATTCTGCTCGAATATAGGTAATCAAAGTATACCTTCATACTTTAATCTTTTTTGTCATCTTAATAGGGTTATTTAGGTCATGACGGTCGCGGTGTGCTGCTTTCAAATTTTCGTCGAAACGGGAAATGTTCGAAATTAACTCGTGAGCGGATGCCAGATGGACGATGTGAAACGATATCTGAAGAAAACTAGAAATACGATCAAACTACTTACTGGTAGAAAAGAGAAAAATATCATCAAAGAAGCCATCAATCGGTAAGTGTAATTATTTCAATAAATAAATGATCGTCGGCGGTCATTGCCAAGATAACCAATATTATATTTATTCAATATTTGCTTCAATCCAGTTTTTGGCGACAAAAACAAAAAATATTTTGAAATGGTTTACGATTCAGTGTCGTCATCATCAGCCAGTTTCCGTCCACAGGTGGACATAGACCGCTCTAAATGCTTTCTACTGAGCTCAATGGTTAGATCCTAGCCGATTGCGACACTCCACCTAACTGGAGGTTGCCCGCTTTGAAGAGATTTTCACTCCGGAAGGCGTCTTTTAGCATGAGCATGAGCATACGGGTAACCTGATGTTAAGTGTTCTGCGCCGCCCATGGACATCTGCGAAACTAGAGTCAGGCGTTGCCAGCGTTTTAGGAAAGATTACACTCGTTCCAGAAACAGAATGATCGCGTAAATAGCACGATTGTTGACTACCAACCAGTATGTGATTGTGGCAAAAAATGCGGTGGCCATCAAATCGAACAATTCCTCAGAACATTCACCATGGTATACGCGATTGAGAACACATAGCGATGTTACATCCCTACGCAGAACCAAAGAGCCAACCGGTCCGAGAGACCTACCCTAAAAATCTTCGGTTGTTTGACAAGTGTGACCTACCCGCTTTCACTTTAGATTGACGCATTTGCACAAATGCACACGACCTGCACTAAGTCGAACGCAGGACAAACAACACTGTGTCGGGTAGAATTAATTTGTTGATTATCTGTAAGTACAAAAATCCGCGCAGGAATCGAAACTGTGACATATAATGACTAATGCCATGACTCAGGAGATAATCACCCAACTACTGTCTACTGTATCGTCTTCCAGCTTCTGTATCGTGAATTCTATTAGGTAGGTTATTATTGTAACATTTTTTACTTACAAAATGTTCAAACAACTTAGCAGACACAGTTGTGTGCTCCCGTTACTCGTGGTACCTACGTACCCAGGTATTAGCTTACACAGGGGCGGCCTGACGAATTCGTGGGGCCCCTGCCTATCAATACAAACAAGAAGGCACACCTAACATCTAATTAATTAGGAAGACAATTTGTCAGAAAACTGTTAAAAGGAAATGTATGTTCTTATCTTTTTTCTGTGGACAGGATTGCCTTACTTTAGGAATTTCTTCCATGTCTTGCTCGTACCTACCTACATAATATTATTATGATATGACAAATAATTGTTTCGTGACTGAATCGAACCCGCGACATGTTTCCCAGCTATTTTGTAAGTGTATAAACAAATAATTTTCATAAAGTATGGGAAAGTCACGCTTCGGTACTAACATTCTGGATCAACCGGAGTTCACAAAACGACCGCACAGAGAACCGGTGGAGGCCCAATTCTCCCACTCCGCGATCCCGAATCACCCAGTATAAATCTGCACGTCCCCAACTCTAAAAGGCCGCCATCGCACCTGTAACAACTCTTCTGGAGTTGCGGTTGTCCATCGGCGACGCCTCGATTGCTTACTATCATGGTATCCGTCTGCTCGTTGGCTTTCATAACCCATAAAAACTCTTCAACTCATTTTTAGACACCTCTTATGGTTCAGCACGTTAGGGTTGTTGACTACTTCATCGGGCTATTCCGCGGTGGCCTCTCAGTAATTAGGGTCCCCAGCGAGGGAAAATAACATGGTCAACAAATTGCGCTTACATATTTAAAAATAAGCAGAAAATATTTAAATGCCTTTCTAGTTCCCAAAGAAAGGTACGGTTATACTATCTGCAATGGTTTACATAGTACATTAATTAAGTAACATTTCTCTTGTAGATTTCTTATAATGTGGAATTAAATTAACACCAAATATTTACGATTCAGTACAATCATTGTCTTTTGCTCTAAACGTCAAGAAAAGTGCGTGTGTATGATCTGCGGGACCGTTCACATGCCCAAGATACGTAGTACAAAGAGACAAATAGGTAAATCTGCCCCTGAATTAACCGGATGAAACAAATGCCCATCGACTGATATTGAAGTAATATGCATTTGTTTATAAATGAATGATGAAAACAACTGCGTTGCAATTGCCAATTACGTTTTATTTCAAAAAATATTGATTATCTAATCTGCATCGTGATGCACATTGCTAAAGACTTGGATAGGTTATTTTTGTAAAGATTTTGGATAAAGGTACGGGCGTACAGCGCATGGATTTTCGTCGGTCAACGACATAGTTAGGTTCTGGTAAAGCTACGTATAAGTGTTGTAGATATTTTGTTTTATAAGTTTAAGATATGTGCTTAGTGGGCGCTTGCCTATTTACTGCAGATATGAACATAATAATATGTTGCCATTTTTAATGTCAATCAAAAATCTCTGGATCGATCTCTATTTTTGACAAAAAATTCGTATTTACCTACAACGAATACCTAAAATTCGGAGATATGTAATTGAAATTGGTTAATAACTTCAGCCGTCAATCTGCAGCTAATTACAGGAAAGAGACTTATTTCATATAAAGGCACATATTTATCTAATTTGATTTAATTCAAAGGATCGTACCTATTATTCTTTTTCTAAAAGCTAATTGCTGTTTTATTGATACCCGACGCAAGTCCAGTTCCGTTCAAGAAATCTGTGTGTTTATCGTGCTGACTTCAATTATTATCCGCGGCTTGGTCGGTATCACGTCGATAATAGATCCACGACCTGTCATAAATTTCATTGCAATCGAGGATCCGGCTGATCAATTTGGGTTGTCTGGGCGGGCGGGGGCGGCGCTGGGGCGCGTGCGCGGGCCCGGGCGGCGGCGGCGGGCGCGGCCCGGCGGCGGCAGTGCGCGAGTCGTCGCCGCCTGCCGCGCCGCCGCCATGGCCGCGCCGCGCCGCGACCGCTGACCGCAGCGTCGACCGCGCCCGCCACCTCGCGCACACCGCGCTCTGCCGCCGCTAGGTAAAGTATCGCCGACTCGCGGCCCCGTCTGCCAGCGAACCTCGCCCGTAGTGCTGGGCCGCGCTTTGTTCTGCGGAGTCGGCGCCGGGCTCGGGCGCCGCGCGCGCCTCGCCTCGCGCCCCGCGCGCGTCACCCGCCCGCTGCCTGGTTCATGACGATACGTAGGTAACGTTGTCGACTACGAAAACAGTTGTTATAAAAACCTTGCGGACTGTAGCTCAGGACGGCGCTCCGTTCCCTCTGACTGCCTGGACAGTGCCTGTCGTATTCAACCCCGGTGTGTACCCGTAACCGACGGTCGTGTGTTGCGCAGCTGACTGCTCCGATGTTCTATCGGTTAGTTTTATCTTTTCTCTCATCTTAGTATTAACGTAGAACATCGCTAGAAGTTTAAGTTTCATGAGCACAGATATGTTTCAAATCGGTAGTTAAGTATTTAAGTTAGTGCTTAAGTAGCGGACCTTAGATGGGTGTTACATAATGGAATATCGGTCGATCTCGTCGAGCGCGCGCCACAGCCGCTGCGTTACGGCACAAGAAACTGTTACGGAACGTTGATTTTCTTCACACTGATTCGCTGCCGTTGATACTCGTTGTTAATATTCTGTTACGTGTATAACTATGTACGTGCTATACATAAATGAAACTAGCTTTGTCCCCGCGAGGTCAACTTGTAGGTTTTAGACAGACGTTAGAAGTTTAGGGCATAGTAGGTAGTTGTAATTATCGATTAAGTCCTAGCATGTTAAGATGTTAGTAATAGAGTATAGAGATACAACTGCTTATTATTCCCAAAGGCAGTCGAAGAGATGCACACAATGGAGACACACAGAGGTCGAGTTAGCGGTAATCAGTGTTAATTGAGTCGTAACGAGTCGCCCGGGGCCGGGTGTAGAGATGTGCGAAAGTGTCCATGGGAAGAGACGTGCCTCTCGTCCGGCGCGTGTCGCTCTGCGGGATCGTTGGCACCCCTCCCAGATGCGAGGTACCTACCACATTTTACTATAAACTCTGTGTGCAATTGTTACTTTCTTCTCCGTATCATTAACTCTGACACTCATAACGCTTATGTGTTCGCTGTGGTCTCAGTATGGATGTATGAGTACAAGCGAGGTCCTAGACTTCACTTTTAGTCACTGGATGTTCAATGTGTATAGATCGGTCTCCTCATCCGAAGTAACGTCGCTAAGTGGTTCTTTATGTAAATTGCTTCAATATTTGTAGACGGAAGCAATGAATGGGCGGCAGGTGTCCCCGTCCAGGCTTTAAAACTCATTTGTTTGTTTGTGCATTTAATGTGCTTTGTGCAATGCCAAGAATGTTTTATCGTTAGTTTACTAAAATTAGAAAAGTTATAACCACTGAAACATCGCATAGAGTCGTCTTTTAGTTCCATAAGATTGTAAATCGAATGGTCTTGTAAACAATGGTTTAATAATCGATTAGAAATTAATACAGCGTCTGAAAACTAAATCAAAGTAGGCAGTTAAAAACATAAAATATTAAAGATAAAGCCCTGTGATCGCGGTTACTAGATATGATAATAGGAGTATGGAAGAAAAAAGATGATCTCAATAATTGATCTTAATTACCTATCATTAAGTGGTAAGGATAATAATAATTGTAACAACGATGAAGGTTGACTTCTAAAACAAAACTATAGATGTAGAGCTATTCAGATCTTTATGACACAAAAGTATTTTTTAAAGTGAACTTTGTATCATGAATGAAAGAAACCAATTTCGCAAAAAGTGTTTTAAATCTCACAAGTTTCGGTTCCATCTATCTATTTCGAGAGTTTTATTCAAACATTCAGCGCAATGTACCTACATTGGCAGTTAAAAGAAAGTGTTTATTAGGATTATTTACGGTTCGCAGCTACACGCCTGATTTACCCGTACGTAAACATGGTGTGGATAAACAGTCCAGTGTTGGCCCCTCAACCGCCAATCACTGGCCACTAACGCAACGAATTTTGCATAACTAAACATTTTTTTTATTATCTGGTTAATTACATACTTTTTTTATGACTATCACTTGAAATTTCCGGTGATCAGCTACCAGAAACGTTTTCACTTCACGTCGTTTAATTTTATAGGTATGTGGTTTTTGTAAATCTAAATTTTAATTTTATAGTTTTGGTAGGTACATCTTGTGGGTTAAGTATATAGTTTTGGTAGGTACATCTTGTGGGTTAAGTATATAGTTTAGTATACATATTTGCAGCACCATATAAGTATGACATGACTACTCGCCGCTAAGTCTTTCACTTTGCTCTTCATTCGGTATGGGTTTACTGGACTTTGATACAAAGAAACCAAGAAGGGCTAAAGGCGTTTATTTATTTACACTTCAGTAATGGACTTATTGGCTCTACTTAACAGTAATGTATAGGTGAAATATAAAGCTAGATATGTGACTGTTTTTGCAATAGAATATTCAGATATTATTGTAAGTACTGTTGGGCACAGCCGTTCCTCCGCTAAGTCGAGCGCGAAGCAAACACCATACCATCCTTTACTGGAACCATTTCGCTGTATTGTCAAGCCCCTATTTGAGAACCTCTAGATAAGACTAGAATGCACGAAATACATAAAATCCCAAATTTCTAGCCTACAGGCCATTTAGTTTCGGAGTTAAGCGATAGCAAAGTTTTGCATTTATGACTCTCACTCACTCATGATCATCAAAATAGAACTAGTACTTCCCATAACCTCAGAGAGCTAAAATTATGTACAGATTTTTATGGCTACATAAAGAGAAAACTATAAGAACAAGGATAATCAAAGACCTGGAGTAACTGGTCATTCAAGTTTCTGCAAAAAGAAATTATGAAATCCCACCAAAAACATTCTGTAAAAAAATCTAGCCAAGTCTCGATGGAGGTGCTAGTTTGTCTCTAAAAAGTTTCCTTATTGTGATTTCGTTATTATTATAATTATGTAGGTAGTTAATGTTGTGTGACTTGGCCGTTGAACGGTCACCACGTTTTCCAAGTGGCGGTTTTCCATCGTCAATGGGTAGCAGTTCTGGCGACAGATTGGTGAAATGGTGTCGTGGAGCAATTGCTTTTGTACCCTTGTGTGCCTTTCGACAAAGGACAACAGCTCAACTAGTTTCAATAGTCACAACGGGACTCTTACTCATGAGTAGCGTGTGTGACGCGACGCTACGTTCTGTCTTCTCAAGCAACTTCCCTTATATCAACTTTCTATGTATCTTTTTTCTTTAGGTTAAGTAAGAAGTAGGCATATATTGCTGTGCAATTATTACATAATTGAGCAACCCTGAAACTTAAAAAAGTATTTTAGTTTCTGCCAATTTCTTGTATTGCATCTTGGATTATACATATACCTACTTACATAGCTGTTTATACAATGAGCGTCTATTGAAGCGTGGAATCTCTTTCACTTTCATGTATTCACTATACGTACCTACATACATATTTCTCAATGAATAAAAATACCGATCGTAGCTGATAACATATTATTATCTGTAATTCTTTACCAAGTACATGAATAAATATAGCGAGGGCTTATCGCAAGCCTTTTACAAAACAAGATGTAGCTACTTACCTAAGTACTTGAACGAGTGATGTCTCTCAATTTAAAATTCATCCCAATTTGAATCCTAACAAAAGGACATAAGTACTTTAATAGTTAATCAGTTCCCTTTAAGGTACTCACTACTTAATTAATGATTAGAGACCGAATGCATTTGCATACTTCAACCTATCTTAGGGGTATAAAACCATATTTTATTAATATTTATCTTAAAAATGTATTTACAATATTTTTTATTGAAATATATATTATGTGCTAACACAGCACCCAAGTTCAAATTCTGCCCATCTAGGTACCTAAGTGGATGTAAACGAACCTTTTTTCACTAAAAAGTATTGTAAATTATCATAAGCACATTACACACACACACACACACACACACATCAGCCTTAGCTTCTGGATTATATTTATCTGGATAAATAAAAAAATATATTTCGCAGCAAGTTTTGAAAATATGTTAACTATTCATAACTCCATAATGCACATAATTATAAAAAAAACAACAGCACGCACACAGGACAAAAACTGCACTAATGCGTTCCTATATTTGAGGCAATTAGAAAAAGCAAATGTAATTTTCTTTGATGCATTGTATTAACTGTAATGAAAACGTTTCTTATACACAACACACATACATACAGTACATACGAGCCAGCTGTAATAACTTGGAAGGCATACAAAATATGCCATGCGGAAACAAGTAACAATGTTTTATACACCTGACCACAACCCGTGGCTTAATTAACGAATTAACCTAGCCTCATCGGACATTTTTTTATAATCAAAACATAAGTAATATGGAGTGGAGACAGGGAATTGGAGGAATTGCCTTTAGAATATTCTGAAATATTATTAACTAGCTTTTGCCCGCGATTCCGTTTGCGTGACTTTCTGCAGTTGTTTGGTGTAAAAACTATCCTATGTCATTTCCCAAGTTCCAAACTATGTGTGTACCAAACTTCACAGAAATCGGTTCAGTAGATTAAACTTGAAGAAAAGATAGACAGAGTTACTTTCGCATTTATAATATTAGTTTGATTGTTCCAATCACATTTTTTGGTTTCAAGTTCATGGTCGTGGTGGCCCGGAGGTTAAGGCGCCCGCTTCTCATGCATGAGGGTGCGGGTTCGAAACCTGGCAAGTACCAATGTGACTTTTTCCGGGTTATATGTACTTTCTGTGATTATTTAGACACCACTGACATACGGTGAAGGTAAACATCGTGAGGAAACCTGGACTTATAATTTCTAATTATAAGTTTGAAATCACCAACCCGCATTGAGCAAGCGTGGTGATTAATGCTCTAACCTTCTCCGTGTGAGAAGAGGCCTTTGCTCAGCAGTGGGCACATAGGCTGATGATGATGATGAATCACATTTTTTTGCGAAGCCAGGTTTTCGTATCAAGCGAAATAATGCCGCAAACTTAGCTGGTCCGAAACAGGAGAAGGGTCGGGATGGTTTTTAGTCAGTAAGAGTCTGACTCCTCCTCTCGTCTCACCTAGGGTGGGAAATATTTGATGATCTTCGACCCACATATTTGTGTTTGAAATAAACTTCACATCCTACTCCTCGCGCCGGTTCCTCAATGAACCTCGTGAAAGCAGTGTACTGCGTATTACTCTCTGCCATCTTTTTCTATCTGCCGCCGAGTGGAAAGCATCGTGCAAATCTGACCCGTCCAACGTATCGGACTTTCGTCTCTAGATCTCTTTCCTTTCACTTACCCAGTGATCAGTAACTTTTCCAAGTTATCAATGTTCTGAACTTCAGCAAATTTGATTAATACATTTGTACCACTTCAGTCTCTTTCTGGTTGTAGCAGCCGAACTATTATAAAAATTACCAGTTATACGGTTTCGACGTATGTCTACAAGGCCCGATTAAATAGGTGTCTTAGATATGAACAGGCGTGATCAATTGTACCTAAGTCGCATCATCGATTTCCACCAAGCGAGACAGTCGCCAAACGCCGTCAAAATTTTCTCCACCCCTGGTTGCAGTATTTGGACGTCATATACCCGTCCAGCTGAGACACATACATTCGTCCAGTTCATACACACTCCGTTGATAATCACTACGATGTTCATGTACTTACATATATACATATTCCCTATGTACTAAGGGACACCATTCAAACACAACTAACTCACTTTAAAAGTTAGAGCCATGAGTTACTTTTATGAGTACTTATTAAGAATGACGCAACTCCTTCAGGTCTATATAAGTAGGTAGTATGTCCATCCACCTGTGATATAGGTTTATTAAATGAGTAGTTCTATTGCTTGCAAACCATATCCGGATAATAGTTGTTATTGTTATACCTGTATGGGTATCGTAGACACGTGACAGTGTGCAATATATGTACATGCAATACACAAAATAATAAGTAAGTATTACTTGTATAATGGTGTTATGCAATATATCGTCATTAGACCTCAGAGCTCGTCTTGTAAGCTATTTGTTTTAGACGTGTGGTTCCAGGACACGGTACTTAATAAATTTAATTGTTGTCAAATATGATTCAGTTTTGTTAATAATAATGCCTGGTTTCTTTTAAAGGTACAGTTTTTGTCTTTATTGTCTTTAGTTGAGTTTCATTATAACTACGCATAAGTACGTATTTTTTCAACAAGATGATATTTTTTTCTAATTTAATCTAAAACAAAATTCTTCTATTTTGGAGCTCATCTGAACTTAAAAAATTCAAATAAATTGCCAAATGTAGGTAATCGCGATCTATAAAATTAAAATTGCAAGCAAAGAATTAATTTCGAAATTTAAAATCAGAATATTACAGCGTGTAAACAAAATAGGATATAAAAAGTCACATTGCGTTCAGATACTCCAAGTACCTATAGCTAGACTACGAATATTTTGTGGAGTAAATTCAGGCTGTATAAGATAAGGCATAACAAAACGCAATAATACGATGTCAAGCGTAAATAGCCATTCATAAAAAAATGAATCTCAAACTCCTTTTGTTCTTTGCTAATGCAAATGCATTTTAAAGAGGATATTCGTCCATCGAGTCTTTTATTTCAATCTCATTTTTAATATGTATAGTCAATTTCAATATAGTACTTACAAATACATACTTATCTATTTGTGTAATCAATCTGTTTTCTTAAGTCAAGTGGTTAGTAGTATTTTTATTATCTATACTAAAATATCTAGGTAGTAGAGGCTGATAAGAGTGGCAAGCGATGGTTATAAGAAGCACTTTCTTTACCAATGACTTTTATTACTAATCCTTTGAATAGCCGTATCTACTTAGATAGAGTTTAAATCTTTTATATTAAAACACATCTACAGCAGCGTTTTAAAGATAATGAGTATTGTCTATCTGCGTTGACAGACATTAATACACTATCTTTCATTTATAGTTTACTCAAGGGCGTTAAAACGCGAGATGGTATTATACATCCTAGATATCTATTAATCTACATAATAATATGTGCATATTAACAACTGTAATCATATTTTGGTTGAAGAAAACAAAATATTTTCTTTAAAAAATTTTGTGACCGAGTCAATGCATATTGTCAACCTCATAAAATAAACAGGTAGCGACGCAAAAAGAAAAACTGAACAAAGTCATGATTTTCAATGCAAAATAACGTGAGATGGAGCCGTGAAAACCTACGCTGGAGTTATTATTCATGCGGGGTGCCTCTCGCGTGCGACGACGACGTCGAGCACTTATCTCACTTATCTTAAGGTGCTTAAGCCTCCCAAAATTCCCCTATGACTCTAAAATTTACGACTTGAGGAGAGATTTAACGTTGGACGCAGCGTTATCTGTTTTATCAGAAGATATTGTGAGTCAGTCGGCGGCTGTCGGTTGCTAAACAATAGCGAGTTGTCGAACGCTGTGAGTGGAGGCGCATTCAGCCGTCGCCCGTCAGAGATCTATATTTATGTCAATCGTTTAACTCGAGCGTGTATAAACAAGCAGTGCACGTGTTTACAACATGGCCGAGGTGCCGCGGATTCGTGGCCACGTGTCTATAGATCCGATCAATGAGCTCTATCACAGTGACGCACGATGCGCCACATATTTATGATCTCGATTGTTGGATGAGGTTAGTGATATTTTTTGTATACATACTTATAATTCTATCTAACTTACAACGCATTGTTTATTAATTATTCTCTTATTCGTTTTCGATATTTGAATATTCAAAGCGTTAAAGCAGTTATAATTATTCATTTTGAACTGAGAAACGCTATATTTGTTATTGTACGCTTACATTTAAAACCGATTATAAACCCATGCCGATATAACTTTTCAGAGTCACAATCAGATGAGTTCCTTAGACGAGTTCGTGAATTCACCGGCATGGCTGGTCAAGGTATACTTAGTTGATGTCAAATATTTAAACAATACACCCGAAAATTACCTGTTCTATAGATCTCCTGTGTTTTTCAAACAAAATTATTCAATACCAATTGATTTTAATATAGCTTTATTGAGAATCGATTATATTACCTATGTATCTTTGCAGTTAAGCTAAATATGTCATAGTCACTGGTCTACAAAATATCTAAAAAAATATATACCCAATTTATTGAATAACTTAATAATTTAAGAGGAAAACGAATATTGACGCCGCAACCGCACAAAATAACAAGGAAACTTCTTATTTCGCATGAAACGAGATCGCATCAGTCCGTCAACCGTCGGCTAATAATTTGAGGCGTTGACTCATTATTAGTTTTATATCTGGCCCCTAATGAGGTTGACAATAGAACATATAAAGCACGCAAACACTGCTGTGTTCGTTAGCAAAGTTTAGCGAGTGCCATAAACACGCACTTGACAATGTTTTATAATTTTTCCGCGTGTGTGAGCTAGGCATTAATCTAATTTGGTCACATACTGAAATGTTCGCCATGTACATTGTATGTATGTGGCCACTCTTAAATAAACACAGGTTTAATTATAGGAGTGATGTATGAGCGGTGAAGGAATGCAGAAAAACGTGAGCTAAGGAATACATGGGACACTTGTGAGAGCTTACTACTTCACTAAACATATTTTTTTTAAAACATGTCTAACCTACTTTCTTATTATATTTAAATGGCAGTTGAAAAAAATATTTTTTTCTGATAATGTTGCCTGCTTATAATTAGTTGGCATAATCTTTAATACTACCACTTTATATGTACATAGTTTGATAATCTTCTTTCTGTTTGACGTTCGACAATGTTAGTTTTTGTAATCACCAGCTTCACAACAAATGCACAGTAGCTAGTAACGCGGGTACAAGTAGATATAAAGTATGCGCTGACGCTGACATGTAGTAGGTACATGTAGGAGTATGGCAAAATTGTTTATTACTAATCCGATGTAAAATTATGAACACCCTTTAGATTGGCTCTGCTACGTTTAATTCTAACTTATGACAATAACATTGTAGTCGCAGATTACAGCCTGCTAAGAATATACAACATTGTCCAAGGTTCCAATTAATTGCTTGTAATGCTACTAGTATCATCGTGATTAGCATGACAGCGCTGTAGTCACACATTTATAAGTCTGTAGCTGTGCTTAGTGCCTCGACTAACGAGCACTCGCACGTAATTAAATGCAAGTGATCGATGCATTTATACATTTTAACGGAGTGATCTCATCAATCTGATGGACACCGGTCGAGCTTGGCGGCCGCAGTGCAGTGCTCGCGGCCGCACGGAGAAAGCTAGTTTCATTTGGCTATGAGTGTACGAATTTGGTTGGTCCTGGTGATAGATGTCGGTTGTCGGTCGCACCGAGTGTAACGAGTAGTGGTGGCCGTTGTGTTGGTCAGGTGTCGGGGGCGCAGCGCGGGCGCGAGCGGCATGCGGCCCCGACGGCAGACGCCCATGGAGGTCGGCTAGCGGCGCGCGCGCAGCCCCCGCGCCCGCTACCCCTGCCCCGCCCCGCCGAAGCCATGGAACTCGCTGACGTGCCTCGACACCGACCCCTTGCCTTCGATAAGGTCAGTATACCACTGTATCATTTTATTATTAACAGAGTTTGTTTATCGAAAACTACGATGATTCAATGTGTCACACATAATATTTCTTTCGCCGAACAACTTCACTCTTCTGTCATTATTGTAAGAAAATGCTCGTCCGCGAAACACGCAAGCCGTACAGCAATAACCGCTCTTACGTACTATATTCGGGGCGAGTTACAAAGAGTCGCTACATAATGCAGCGTGGAGGAGGCAGGCAGTGCTTTACCCCGTTTTATTTTTAACACAATCGTCGTCAGGCGCCGGGCGCCGAGCCTACTGCTGCTGTCTGAAAATCGATATGGTTTGCTTCCGTCGGAGCTGCTCGTAGTGTGCTACTCGCTACTACATCGCTACTCGGTACATAATACGAGATAATAGTGCGCAGCGTGCCTTCTATTCATTATACGACTAATATACAGCAATGTAAATAACAACTAGAGCGTTGAATTAGTAAGATTGATCAGCGAATCAAACAAATCTTGCATATTCTGATATTGTACTCGTAAGACTTGCTTTGGTTACCAAAGCTAAAAATAATTTCAATTAACACTGCATAAGCAAGCATCACAGTGTGATTGGGTTATATTTACAAACACTGATGCCTTTAGAACTCTCAGCAGTATACATACAGATGATCGTTTTATATGGAGATTTGGTAAAATATTGAGGAAGCTAAAACATTCTATAAATAAATACTGTGCAATTCTAGTATTGAGTGCCCGAACTGAGTTCGACTGTAAAACGTATATACGTAGTATGAATATTGTTATACATATACAAATATTGTAATTTATAACAACAATAGTAAGTAATTATTCGTTGCTAATTACTTTGATTTGCAAGCGGACTGTGTGTATGTAATAGAACCCCATAAACGCCATTAGTCTTTGTGGCGGCTTGCGACGAGGCGTGAGACCCCCTTAACAAAAGAGGGTTAAATACTAAACAACGACGTGACGGTTGGTTTCCAAGAATCTTATTATTCGTCGCTTGTATGGATTCACAGAAGTAAAGTGTTAAAGGCTCAAACTTTCTTGAACCCCTGCCCTGGAAGAAATAAACAGAGTTTTTGTTTGCAATCTTTTTACGTTTAATAATTTACCATTTATTTATGATAAAGTTAGTCAGTGTGTATTTATTGTAAGAGAATTTTATAAAAACACATAACACTTGAATAAAGACGTCCGAGTTGCTACAAAGCATACGGTACAGAAACACTATGTAACATTATAATTCGAAATTTGCAAATCCCTTCCACTTTTGATAGCTTGTTTATATTAGAAATTTTATTCAGTCGGGTCAAAACATTTCATTAATTGAACGAAAGTGCAAAAAGGATTGGGTCGCCCTTACCCGGTACTGCCCGCCCACGCACCGCGCGCCTTCCAACCTAACCCATAATGCATTAGAGTAAAAAAAATACTGAATTTTGATGGAAATTAGGTATTTCATTTTAAAAAAAATTAACAATATTTTTATCACAAATGTAGTGGATATTAACTCCATGATTCATAATTCTTAGTGTTCTTACGGCTCCGATTATTTCGGGTTTCAGAGACCAATTAATTCATCGGATATCATTTTCAAAGAAAAGTAAACTTCAGCTTTTGAAACATTTAAATAGTGCGGCAGTCAACTGACGTTGAAGTACTTTCTCCTTACGAATAGGAGAAGAATAAGTAAGAAAGTCCAGGATATTAAGACTATTATACCAGGATATTATCACATTTATGCACAAACTGTCTTAAGAGACACGAGACTGTCCTGAGAAATAGTTTTTCTATAACATTCTTAGGTTTGTGTTAGGCCTTGCATATAAGGTACCTATATGGTAGGTATAGAAAACAATTTGTAGGTGTAATGGTTCGTACATAAAATCGCGACGAAGGTGGCCGAGGTGGTGACGAAGACGTTCGGGTTCGTGAGATGTGACCCCGGCCCCCGCACCCCGCCACACTCGCCGCACCTCTTCGGCGCCGGGGAATCGATCGCGCCTGTGACGTCACCCACTTAGCCTTACAGCTCCCGTCTTCGAGGACGAACGGTCAAATCAACGTCCACCCCTCATCGCACAGTACTATATAACAAATATTTTGCCAACTGATTGCCAATGTCCTTAGCCGAGATGATCCATATCAAACAAACATAATATTCATTACTGGAATCGAGAATCGCGACCAAAATTGTCTCTGATTTAGTGACAGTTATGGGACCTCTTTAATCATTTAACTATGATTCGGTGTCGCAATCTAGACATGTAGTCACCTATGCATGACATCATACGACCAAATTAAATGGCTGTAGGTCATGACAACACGTACCTACCTAGCGTGCGGACATAAGAGTTAGTACAAAGAAATCAAAGAATTGAATTATGTACAGCAAAAATATTGCATAAAACTAGTTATAAATAATCTAATTTATTTTAAAGTATTCTATTGATAAGTGATGAAGAAATTTGTAATTTTTTTAGGCATTTCTTTTTAATACTATTAATTATAATATGTGTAAGAACAGGGTTTGGTAAAATTTGATACAATATTTCTAAATTTTCTAACAGAATTCCGTTTTTTGATAAACTCGATTGCGTTGCACAAAATACCATAATTTTGCTAAAAATATCAACAACTAAAAAACAAATGCTCTCGATATATTATATAGCATTTGTTTGCTGCATTGGCTTTGTCCCCGATAGAGGGCGGCCGCACGGCCCCCAGACACTTGAGGGCCACTCTCGGCTCCTCTAGGCCGGCATTCACCGCAGGGTCAGCCACTTGCAACGTGGACAGCCCTCAACACCCCTACAGGCCAGCTCAAGTGCGCGTTGACCTAAAAGGACGCGGATGACGTCATCAACGATGCTTTAAATCTTGTTAAGTTGTTACAGATTTAACTTTTCTTGCATACCTAAGCATTTTTTAAAAAGCTCCTACAATATCTCGCTGCGAACACTTCAGTTTTAACAACATATTTTTGGAATCATCGATTATTACTTGAATGACAGGAAGTTTTCAAAACTTTGAAATAGACAGTTTCTAATTCCTAGTTTTTTTTATCATGCTTTTTATTTACGATTTTCATTCCTTTTATTAACTAGTTGTGTTATGTAATAAAAGTTGTTGTTCTGTATTCTAAATTGTAAATAAGACAACAGGGTCTAATTATGGTCTTAGTGATTATATGACAAATCCTTATCAATAGGTATTAATTATCATTTTTGACAAACCAAAGCTTTTGTTAGTTTAAAAATTGAAATTTCATTAAAACCCTAATTATTTTTCGTTAGAAGATTTAGATCAACATCCTCTTTAAGTAACGAAATGAGTCAATCACAAATCTTTTTTTGGTTCTTTGAATGGTTTCCTGTCTTGGGCTTGAACCTAACTAATACCACTCCTCTCTATCTGTTTCGAGCCTGACTGCCGTACATTATTGCACTTTGCCTCTAACACCGGCTGGAAAAAATTAACTCCGGCTCACATTAAAAATAATTGCTATAGTAGGATTTTTGGCGGTGACGTGGGTGCGTTTACAAACATACAAATTCACATACACAAACCACCCAGACTCGAAACAACAATTTATAGATCACATTGAACCCGCAATACGTAGTACAACAGTTAGTTGCCCGGCCATTGCGCCAACGGTGCAGTCAAAACTTTGATCCAGACTTCTAAGCACAGGCATCTTAATAGACGTTATTCATGGACAGCAAACAGTTTTGATTTTGGAAATATTATTGGAACGGAACGCATTTAGAAAAGTCCTATGTCCATTTATTACAGGCAGTGTAGTCTGTATGTGTAGGTACTCATACACATTCACACAAATTTATTCTGTTATTAGTCGAGAATCATAGATTTCACGACTTATTACTTTGTAGCATAGACCCTACAGTAATGAATACAGGTAAAGGTTTTACATACTTTCGCATTGGTTGCGTGAAATTTCGCTTTTGACTGAACAAAGATAGGATAATTATTTTCCTGAAGCTTTGCTCTAAAATCCCAAGACTCCTCTTCGTCAACGTCATGAAAACTTTAAAAATGTCTTGTAAACTACACAATAATTTTGGGTGAAATTGGATGCAACAATAAAAAGTTTGAAAACAGAAATGGACGTCAGATAATTAACCGAATCGTAGGTATACGAAAATCTTATGAAAGCGGTAACTACATGGGGAAAGCTCTGGACTGTATATTACCTACTATTATCTTTTACAATTCACAATCCCACAATTAAGAAAGAATTCAAACATTATTCATTCAATTGAAACGTTTTAAGATCCCATTGAAGCCTAGTTCAACTTTGTAAATAAATCAATATTTGGTGACTACATTAGTTTTTTTTTACATTACCAGAATAGTGAATGAGTGTGAATAATAGTAAAAAAAAGATTGCTAGGTATTTTGGAGCACAGGCGCGTTGAGCGTTTGATTACCGCAAAAAAATCTTTTTGGGATCCACAAATTATCGAATATGTTTCCTGTACACAGGACACAACAGTTTTTTTTATAGGTCAAACTCTTCAGTACCTATATATTATCAATTAATCCACTACATTATAAACGCTCTTTGATGTGGTCCAAAATAAACTACGATCCAAGTAGTACGGAAGACGGAAAAGCAAAAATATCTGAAAGATTCGGCCAATAGTTTAAGACCTTTGCTCTCAGTGTTAATATTTTTTTAAGTCTTGTAATAACGTGACATGTATCTACGTACCTACTTATAATTTTGTTCAAAATGTACTAAAACCAATTTAATATATTTCAGATGGAAAGCTTGATAAAAGAAATGCAAGACCCAGACTCAGGGGTTCCAGTAAGAAGTCAAAAACTTTTTCTCACTCTTATTCCGTCTGCTTTTATGGGTAAGTGCTCGTTCACATCTTGTATTTTTTTAATTATAAATAATCTTTAGTCGTGACAATAATCAAATAATCCAAAGGAGTTTGTGACATAGATATACATAATACATATAAATAGCAAAGCGTATAAATGTTCATTAGGTACAGCTCAAGATTTGTAAGAATTACTTTGCTTAGTCAAAAATAAATCATTTCGACGTCTTAATACATATGATATAAAATATTGAAATATAAACTATACTTTCACTCATTGATAGGTCGATACACTTAATTTTTGATATTTTCTAACAATTTTTTAAGAAATAAGTAAGCTGTTTGACCCAAAAATAATTACTAACTACAAAATTATATATAGCTATATGTCCCTATCATAGCAGAGTTTTAGACATTTGCTTTAAGTATTGAATTTGACTGGCTGGAAACTACTGTATTGTTAATAGATTTTCGAGTTATTTGTTATGTGACATTACATGATAGGAGCATGTTAACTTTGCTTCCGTATCTAACCTAAAGCTATTGCTGAAGCTTGTCAGAAAAGAAGTCTTCTTTGGACGGCTTAACATATTTATTTTATTGGATCTATCTACCCAAAATCGCCTACTGGTTCGCCTAACCACATTGATACCCGTCGCATAGCTTCAGAGACGGCTCATTAGATACTTAGATGCCTATCTACAGTGAGTCAGTAATAAAATTGCAGGTTATCGATTCCACTATGACTACAATGATCAATTTAACCTATTCAATTACGTATAAATTATACATTATAGCTACTGACCGTCCATAGAAATACAATCGGATGCGGAATCGCATTCTAATCTGACATTCATTGATTATCATCAGCCTTAGTCCGTTTTCGTTCACCGCTAGACATACAGGCCTCTCCAATTACACGCCGTGTATCTTCGCACCTAATAATTGCCAGCCACTTTTCGAGTATGTGCATTTCACCTAGCTGGCGGGCGCCTTTTACTACGTTTGCCTGGGTGCACAACACTTCAAAACGCAACAAGACTTCTACCCAACGGTCATCGGTTTCTTGCCAAATGTTACATGCCTGTTACCACTTCAGTTCAATGATCAGGCTATGGCCATTACTTTAGTACTCTGTCGGATCACCTAGGGTTCCAATTCGATCCTTTGGAGAAACTCCGAACATAGCCGTCTCAATGCTCCCTGTGCTGCTTAAATCCGTGTGTTATTACTGGTAGGACGCACATATTGCAGACTTTTGTCTTCAGAATTTAGGCGGTAGGCTTGATGAGAAAACCCTATCTTATTTCCTATGTGCTACTCATTTAAGCTCTAACCTTCTGCAAGCATTGGTTCCGAAGCTGTTGTTGTGTACCAAACTGTATACTACGAACTAGGTATACATAATACTGAACAACTACGAGATGAGACATTTACGGTGATCGGCTGTGGAAGTTCATCCAGAGTCCAATGCAAGCATGTTGTTCAGCGTATTATTTTATTAGGCAGAAGAATCAGCCAGGCTGCTCAGCTTACCCTGTACATTCAATCACGACAACAATGTCATCTACAAATCTCGAATCTTTCGTCGTACTGTTTGAAACTTACCGTTTATGATTATGCCCCCTTTTTTAAAACTGCATGCAATCGTTCTGGGACTACTTCTATTCCAACAAAAAAAAAAATCAAAATCGTTTTATAAATATCGACGAACAAACATGAAACACAAAAAGAACTCTCTCTTTCTTTTTGAAGTCGGATAACAAGACAAATAAGTCTCGATATATCCTTTCGAAATTTTCTAATTAATTTATATTTTTATTTCCAGGTTACGATCTTGTCGAATGGCTAATGGATCGGTTTAATTTTGAAGAACCTACAAATGGTAAGTCCCTTAGTTACAATCTTCTAGCTAGCGTGAATGCATATAGGCCTTAGCCAGGGTCGCCTTAGCAAGCACAATGAAATACCGCAGCCTCGACCTGGAGCAATAGAAGGAACGGGAGGTTTTTAGTAAGACACTGTCAGTCCCTCTCACCATACCCTGGGCGAGAGAAACCATTTGATGTTTTCCCTTCTCAAAAAAAGACCCAAGTTATCAAATTGTGTAGGGACAAATGCCAATAAGAAACTCGCGAGTTGAGCGAGTGGCTGCGGGTTCGATAGGAGATATAAATGTGTAGGTTTTCTGTCATTATATTATAGTGACGTAATTTTTTAATTACTAATTATTTTTTATTTCATCCCCAAAAGATAACAACTAAGACTATTACTAAGACTCCGTTGTCCGTCCGTCTGTCTGTCGTTATTTCTTATTGTCAGTATGTAAAAAACAAAAAACGTGAGTTTTGAAAGGAATTCATCGTGCTTGAGGCGGACCTTCATTTGGGCAGTTTATATACTGAAGTAGTTGTTTCCTAAAACTTTTGGATATTTAAAATAACATGAATTATTTTCTACTTTCAGTTGAAGCAATAAACTTAGCCAATCAACTGTGTCAATATGGCTACTTCTTTCCTGTCAACGATTTGAAGAATCTTGTGTTGAAGGACGACTCTTCTCTTTACAGATTTCAAGTGAGTAAAGAATTTTAATTGTTACATTTGTGCGAATGTGACATAGTTTATGTTTTTTCTTCTACATGGCTAACATATAAGAAAATAAAGATTGATTCAGTACAGGGAAACTAGCTATTGTTATTTAGTTAGTCCCACTGCAATAGCCTTTATCTTCAACTAGTCTATGCGCAAAAAAGTTTTTTATGGTTTAGCAAACGGCCCAATTCAGCTTTCAGCAAAAAACAGACGGATTACCTGGTGGTAAGCCATTGACGAGACCCATGGACACCAGTAAATAGGTGAGTTGCCGGCGCCTAGTGGGTTATTAGGGATACTTATAAAATTTACAAAAACGTGACGTCACACGAAATTTCAAATCAATTTATAGTCTTTAATTCAGTGAGAAACGATATTCCAGATTAAAAATTGAGATAAAATTTTGTATAACGTATGCTTGTTTACTAATACGACGTATTAATTGATCGCCAGAGTCCATATTACTGGCCATGGCAAGCGCCACGCGTGGCGGGCAGCTCGAGCGCTCCAACATTGGGCCCAGACAATGTGGAGTACGCTATCTACTTGGTGAAGCGGACGTTACGTAACAAGCAAAGACATGGCCTTGAAGAGTACGAACAGGAAGCCCTCGCCAACCTCAAGAAGAATCTCGCAGCGAAATGGGACTTTATTACTATGCAGGCAGAGGAACAGGTGAGAGAAGACTAAGTACTTATATTTCGGCGTTAGGTTACATACTTACTAGTTATTAAAAGTTATTGAAATTAAAACTAAGTGACCTACTTCTCGATGGCGGGAAGTAGTCAAGAAAATGAGTCCGAAGTACCTAGTATATGTATAATACATATTAATTTACGATTAGGTATAAGTTTAGGTTAGGTTAAAGTAGATTTAAAACTCACGTAAACATATGAAATAAATTAAAAAAAGTACATAGTGAATCACAGTAAAATTGTTAAAACTGAGTATTTTTTTAAATCATTTCAAAGTTATTTTTTGTGTATGTTGCTCCATAGGTTCGTCTAGCTAAGGAGAGGAAGAAAGGTGACAAGATAGTGAGTGACAGCCAGGAGCGTGCATACTGGCGCGTGGCGCGGCCCCCGCCGGGCGTGGCCAGCGCGCTGGAGCCCTGCCCCGTGCCCGTGCGCGCGCGACACCATCGCGTCAAGAAGCGCTCCGTGCACCAAGTCACTCGCGAGGTACGACATTCCATATTATCTATACATTTTTACTTATATTGCCCTTCACGAATCTGTAGCTCTACTAGAATTCTAAATCTCTTTAGAATCCATTGTAGATAATCTAAGTAATTGTAGTGACACCTCTCTAGATCTTGACATCCACGCTTTCGGTATTTAGACGTAACTAAAAATCTTCTATTAACTTTCTACTTCTAGATTGAGCATCTAAAAGCGAGTCTGGACCGTACGAGAGTGAAGACTTCAATTGCCCTTGAGGCCCTCTTGGCCTACTCGGAGACCTTCACTCCCTACGATCCCTGGCTCACCCCGCCGCAGCCCTCCAACCCTTGGGTCAGCGACGACACCCTATTCTGGCAAATTAACAGCCCTCTGTGAGTTCAGTACTACGCCTGTACGAGTAGACACTACCTTACATGCCTGATCACTTGAAACGTTTCTTTATTTGTAAACTGAGATAACTACACGAGTTTCCTCTTTTAGCGTTTAGATCTTGTCAGAAACACTTGGTTGTTCTTCCTGAACTTTGATTTCCTGTACCGATGTATGCAAAAGTACGACTAAGACAGATTTTTTGCGTTTAGTGTGGAGGTGCCAAGTGAGAAGCGGGTTCAGCGCTGGGCGTTGTCTATCGACGAACTGGTGTCTGACCCGACCGGGCTCCAGGAGTTCACCAGCTTCCTGCGCAAGGAATACTCGCACGAGAATATCAGGTTCTGGTTGGCGGTCATGGATCTGCGGCGCAGCAGTACCAAGCAGATTCCAAAGAAACTTGAAGAAATCTATGAGTACGTATTTGTTTTTAATTCTTCGATATATAAATCAAACCATCAAATCAAATATTTTAAGTAGACCACAAGAGGCACTTTTGAACATAAAGCAAAAATAAAAATATCAAAAGGTTTATCTTTATTCGTGTCTGTCTGTCTGTCTGTCCTCTTTTTGCTCGTTCCAAACTGTAGATTTCTATGGAGAAGAACGATCAAAAAACTCCATGGTTACTCTTTTTCAATCAATTTCACAATGCATTTTTGTTACATCACAAAAATTAAAACTATGAACCGTTGTTTATGACTTAGCTCTGACGATTTTTGCGTGTATTTCAGAGAGTTTCTGAAGCCGGGCGCGCCGTGCGAGATAAATATCGACGGCGCGACGGCGGAGCGCGTGTCGGAGGGCCTGCGGAGCGGGTCGCGGTACGCGCTGGACCACGCGGCCGAGCACGTGTACGGCCTGCTACTGAAGAAGGACTGCTACCCTCGCTTTGTCCGCTCCGACCACTTCCAACGCCTGCTCACTGAGGGCAGGAACGTGCACCAGAAGAAGGCTAAGTTAGTTGGACTTGTTACAGACGAGGTTCAAAAGTGAGCAAAAACTTGTAGTTCAATAAATAATTGTAAAAGGATTGTGCCGTCCGTCCGTACTCGTTACAGCTTCGAGCAGAGACGTCATTTTTTGATATTTTTTATATATTTAAACAAATTTTTTTTTCTTCAATTTTTTTTTATAGAATATTTTTAACTTTTAAATATTTTATTGTCAATGCTTTTAAATAAGGGCGATTACTTATGTGTTTAGAAACGGATCAACCTGTATTGTAAGTGTTTACGTTCACATCTTTTGCACAGGTTTTTCAACTTCGGTGGGCAAGTGAAGAAAAAGCCGGGGTCGACGAGTGGCGGGGCTGGATGCGGGCTGTCCCGGCGGCGCGGGTCGGACCGCTCGCTGTCGGGGTCGGCGCACGAGCTGGCCGTCTGCGCCGCGCAGGCCTCGCGCGCGCCCGACCAGCCCAGCCACAGCCACTCGCAGTCCAACCTCTGCGACATCACCACTTTCAGGTTACTTCTAATTATTATTTTCCCACCCACCTATAAAGCCGAAAACTCCGTCCGTTAAGTACAGTACCACTTTTAACTGAATACTCTTGTTATGGTTCTAATACCAAGGCAATTACAGGCTAATTACAACGTGACGAGTTTAGTTCTAAAAGATATCTTTTATATTTTAAATAGAAAAATAACATTATCACGGTAGGTACCATGTTAAGCACTTTATAATACATATTATAGATACCACCGATACCATTTATTTAATAAATTTTGACATTTAAATACAAAATAAAAAAAAAAAATAAAGAAATTGCAGAAATATTTGGAACATTAAAAACTTACAATTTTTATAACTCACACATCGATCACACTGTAGGTACTATTCTGTGTAGACGACTAGCTGACGTTATCCTGCACTATCCTAAGTAATCTTATGCTTATAATATCCTGTCCTAAATTCCCTTAAGCCTAATTATCTATGTACCCTAAAATCCTATCCTAAACCTTTAACTTTATTTTTTAATATAAGTATGTACCAATAACAGACCTTTTTTGTGTGCAGAGATCCTCTCGATGACGACACGGCAGACGCACTCCCGTGGGAGTGTTCCTCGCGGGAGGTCGTGTACGGCAGCGCCAGTAGGCGGCGACAAGATTCCGCCGCGGACTCCGGCAGCTCGTCCTCCGACGTCAGCGCCGCCGTCGCCGTCAGCGAGCGCACGCGGCGCCTGCCGCAGCAGAGCACCCTGGACGGCGGCCTCCGCGGCGCGCCCCCCCCGCTGCGCCGTCTGTCCGCCGTGGAGCCGCGCCACCTCGCGCCGCTGGCGTCGCCGCCGCACTCGCCGCGCCCGCCGCGCCCCCCGCCCGCGCCCGCGCCCCTCGCGCATGCGCCCCCCCACCCCACGCCCACCATCAGCGTCAGCTCTGCGCCCGACGACGACGAGGCCGGTTCTCCTCCCGGCACCGCCTCGCCTGACGAGCCGCGATCTATCGCGCACTCGGACGAACCTTCGTCGGTGTTCGCATCTGCAGACGCAACTCCCACGGAACCGATGCGGCCCGTGTTCAAGGTCGGTGACGAGCGACCGGCACCCGTCACCGAGGGGCCCGCGGCTCCCGCAGATCCAGGTTGTGATAGCTCAAAGGAAGAACCGCCACACGAACCCGTGAGGATTCGGTCCGTGTTGGAGTCGGTGGTGTGCGCACCCTCGGTGGAATCCTACGACGACTCGTCCGCTTCGTGCGCCGTGTCAGACTCCAGGGATTCCGACCGAACGCGATCGTCCGAAGACGACGTAGTGTCGGTGCAACGTGTGCTGTCCCGTGAATCGTCAACGATAAAAGAAACCAGTCCGGCCTCAAGTAAAGATACGAGTAGCAAAATTGGCGATCTTCCGGAGAATACGTCCGAGAGTGACGATATTACGACGAGCTCTGTTCAAGTGGTAGAGTCGACGAGTGAAGTGGCAAGTGTGTCGCCGAGTGCGCCGACTGTTGCAGCGTCGAGCGCGCTGGTACTTGCGCCGGCCAGCTCGTCAACGAGCGCAGCGCAGCCGGAGCCGGGGAAGCTGACGGAGTACGTGGCGCCGGGGCCGTGCAGCTCGGCGACGGTGGAGCCGGCGAGCGCGGCGCCCGTAGACTCGGCGCCCGTAGCCTCGGCGCCTGTAGGCTCAGCATCTGTAGGCTCGGCGCCTCGCTCGCCCATAGCGCCGCTCGCAGTCTGCGAGGATATCGGGGTCGACGACGACAACGTAGACAAAGTGCCTTCGGCGCCACTGCAAAGGGTCTCGGAAGATTCCAAGGCGGCGTCCGACGCGGACGCGACGAAAACTATTGCTCATAAAGACGAACTGACGTCGGTCTCTGATACCAATATTGTTAAGCGTGATAATAAAAGCGGCATCGGTGAGCGTAAGCAGCGGAACGACATATGTCCATGGGAGGACGAGTAAGTACTCGTGAGTTTGGTTTGTGGTCGAATGCCGCGGTAGTATGTGTATGGGTGAAGTCCGTGTGTGTACCTCCGGTAATATGCATTTGGTAGCCAAGTATAATATGTGTTGTGTTCTCCAAATTTTAGAGTTCCGCGGTGTAGGCGTAGTGTTACAAGTGTGTCGCGTCTGTATAGACATGCTTCAGCATGATGTAGAGTTACTGCATGACAATCACCACCAAGTTGCAAAAGATATGTTCACATACATATTTAGTAAAATGGTTTCCAAAATCACGCACAATTTATTAGAGTTATTATGTTACTGTATCTAACTATAATTTTATTGCTTTATGTTTTTTTATTTACTTTGAACTTTATTTGTATATAGTGACGAGTATGTAGATATCAAATAAATTAAATATTTTTTTATGTCCACTATTATTTTAGTTTGTATTTTTTTCTTACTAATTGGCACGCAGACTTACCATGTAGACTTGACCTGCATTTGTTCCACGTTATTGTAGTACCTAGTTCATTTTTGTTATAGGTATTAGAGCATATAGCAATAACAGATTTAGTCCATTGTTATTATTTAGATCTTGAAATACACGCAAGAACGATCACAAAACATTATAAATTTAATACATAAATTTTTGGTGTGACATGTATCCAATGCAAGATATGGGTAGTTTGCATAATGTTAGCGATTTGAAATGGAACATACATAGTTCGTTGCGATTCAAGATTTTTTGTTACTGAGTCCTGCTTCGATGGGGATCTGAACGTTTTTTACGTCCCATCAGGATGGGGAGGTCACAGGGGAAGCGTGTCGAGGTCATGGACTGTAGGGCAGTGGTCGTATGCCTCTGCGAGGTAGGTTAATGTGCTAACATTATTCTTTTCTTCTTTTTCAGAAATTCCTGCGAAAGTGATGCTCCATTTGTTAAAACTTACGCAACACTTGGTTATTTATAATTTTTGTAGGCGAATATCAACAATATTTTACGATGTCAGGGTTATAGTATGATATGATATTTAATTTTTTTAACTTAGACCCTATGTTTTTAATTACCACAGAAGGAGTTAGACATTATTATGTAATTATATGAATATTTTAAAGTAAATGATCGTTAATTATTAGTAAAACAAATGGGTTTTATTTGATATCGCAACATTTAAGAATGTGTATACATAATGTTAATATAAGTGGTGCATAGTATCTGTTAGGGAAGGCATAGAGCTTGTATAATTAGGTTTTTGCTTGGCAAGTGATGGAAATAAACTACAATCCAGCGTCGCATTCGGCTCGCAGCTGCTGATCTTCTACTTCAGGACAACGACAGCATAACGACAATATTAAACGCTTTGATTTAGATGCGCACGAAATTATTAGTAAAAAATAAATAATTGTAGTAAATACTCTAACATTGTTTTAAGAACAGCGTCATAATTTTAGCTCAAAATCAAATCCATCCTTCGCATCCCTAGCGTTAGCAATCTAGAGGTAAATAATAAGTGATTACACAATTATTACGCGTACCTACTACGTCTAGTTCTTCAAGTTAGTTTAATTCGAGTTTGCTAGAGGATCTTCTCAGTGTATTTGGTGTCTAAAAACAAACACTAGAATGGCTTTTTCTAAAAGTCTATATACTTACACATTCGCCAACTATTTTTAATGCTTTCAAAATGGTTGGCGTATATGGTTACGTTAATTGGATGCTGTTTTATTACATCAGTCCCCAACGCATTTTTTGCAAGGGGAAACGCATCAAATGACTTAGAGCTGAGGGTGTGTCAGACTGTTACTAACAAAAAGCCTGTTATCATTGGCCTTGTAGTGCCCTGTATGTGGTGGTCTATTGGCTCTTTGATGCAGTTACCAACGCCTAGGATTGAAATAAGAATCTACACAGTAAATGTGTTCTTGAAACAGCTCACTTACTGGAAACACGTTTATTTATTCGAATGACACTTTATTTAAAAGCCAAAAACAAACAAAATCACACGAAAGGGTTCAGACAGCAAGATTTTAGAAGTTGCAGACATCACAGCAGTGCCTGAACCTGGCGAATGCAAGGTGTTCACCCATCGTTGTTGTGCTACCAGACATTCCGACAGACGCCGTCTACTCCCATTTTTTGTCCCTTCGGACAGTTATCAGGCACGTCGACAACACTCCTGGCTGTTGAAGATGGTGCAGTTTTGGGGTTGGAGTCGGCCATGCTGCAAAATTAATCAAATATTACTGTTGCTCTTGTTGTCTTTATGCTGGTAGACACAGGTGTTTCACGCTACCAGCGCGAGTCGTTCGTTTTGTTACTGTTAAGGAAAATCAAACTAAAATAACAGCTGAAATTAAATACATTATTTAAATACAAAAAAAAACAAATGACGAGATCTTAAGTTCCTGGATAAATCTATGTGGTCACAAATCGATATTAATTAAAAATGTTAAAATCTTTAATGCCGCAATGCGATTAGTGGTCGATACTGATGCCAAAAATGCAATCAGTAAAAATTTTGTTTGTCTGTCTGTCTGTCTGTTTGTCTGTATGTATGTTCCTTATAGAAACAAAAACTACTCGACGGATTTTAACAAAACTTGGTACAATTATTCTTTATACTCCTGGGCAGGTTAAAGGATACTTTTGATTACGCTAAAAATAATAGGAGCAGACCAGTGAAGTTTGGCACTCCCAATCTTAAATAATTTCACTCGATAATGTAGTAAATGTAATATACTTACATTGCTTTTCCTGGAACTTGTAGGTTTCAGAAAACTGATGTTTGTGGTGAACTCGCTGCTCCTTTTATACGTACCAAGCTCAGTGGCTTATCACACAATCACACTTTGATGGCGCTATATTGTGTGCATTTAATGTCGTCGTAAAATATGTTATTGTTTAGAAATGATCTGGTTATTGAATGTTAACGACCATAACGAGAGTTAAATAGTTTACCTACTTTATTGTATACCTAGATGCTTCGTTGGTCGACTATGTAGTCACAAACACGACAGTTGCTATCTATCACAGGGTGAGCGAGGGCTGAGGTTTTTTGACTTGTCTCACCCAGGGTGTGGCGAGAGGGAATATCAGTCTCTTACTGACTAAAAACCCTCTTCCTTCTCCTGTTCCAAGTTCCAAATCGCGCTTGCCCCACAACCTCGGTTGAACATCGGCCCTGTCTGTGGTGGTCTATTGGCTCTTTGAGGCGCGCGCGTAGGGTTACGTCCGTACGCTCGGGTTTGGTTCTGGGCACGTTCACGTATCTGCTCCAACTGTAGCTGGAGATCCCCGACGCCAGGAGAGTCGCACAATTTTACCTTGAAAAACAATTATGAATATAAAACCATTGTGCGACATAGGCACTATATACATACTGGTATTTTTTAATGATAGGTCGGCAAACGGTTTTAAAGTTTATACAGGATTACCTGATAGTAAGCGATCGGCGCCGCCCATGGACACCCGCAATATTACAGGCGTCACGAATACGTCGTCAGCCTTTTGGGGATAAGGGGTTTGAAGATTTAGGGATCAGGGGAGTGGAAGAAGGATTCGGCCACCGGTTACCTCACTCGTTATGGTGCTTCACACTGGTTATCTGTGAGGCTGTGGCATCAGCCCAGACGAACCGATCCGTTCGTGCCGAAGCATGGCTCTCCCACTCACACAATTATGGTCATAAACTCAACTTGTGAACGACAATAAAATATTTTTTAAGAAAAAAAAAAAAACGTTGCCCAACACTAGGATTTTCTCTTGTATCGTGAGTGCGTTTACAAACTTACATTTATGTACTTATGTATTTCAGATACAGATTTATATTTAACTTGTACGAAAATGATCACATAACAAATGAAACAATTGCAGAATTTCGTCTGAAATTTCGGTTCCATTACAACATATAATAAGTATTCTTATGTATAGCTATATTATTATTAGTATGAAAACTAATCCTAGTATTTATTTTTTCATGTATCCACATTTTTTGTTGAAGCTGGAGTTATCTAAAATTATATTTCAGAGTTCACCTCTAAATTACGAGTTCGTCTGAAATACCGTAAAACGGGGTGAATAGAATTTGAGGGGTGAATATATACACATAAGGGGGTGAATCGATGTTGGCGAATTTTCCTCTACTGCGTCTATTCACCCCCCGAATTCCATTCAGCCCACTTCATCGTTACTCTAAGCCATGAAGTAATTAACTAGCTCTAAGCACTACATAGCGCCACCTATTTCCGTCCTAACGTACTTTATTATCATTATAACTTTAGATCTTCCAAAGTTTTCGTAATGTTGATATATAGCCCAGACCTGAAACTTACTATTCAAAAATCTTTTAAATTGTTATTGTTCGTTCAAGTAGATTTTACCAGCGCCACCATTCTCATACTTTTTTAATGATGTTCCTAATCCTAATTTATTATACACTTACCTAATTATTATGCATACATTATCTATATCTAATAAATTATAATAAAATGTAGGTATATAGGATCTCGACTTCAACGATTTCCATAAAATTTTGTATGTAAAAGCTCGAAAAATCAATTTTACCTGCGTTCCATTTTCAGAAAAGAAACAGAATTCAGAGAAAACACCGAACTTTGTTCGATCATCAAGGTCCTATATTATGTAATCCAAAAAAAGCAGAAAAACGATTCTCAAAATATACATTGCCATTATTATTTTCGGCAACTGTACAAAAAGGGGAATAAATAAGCACCATAAACACGTAAATTTGTATTGAAAATACATCATGAATTCGATTTGAAGTATAGATAAATATATATCATACAAACGTGCTTATGTACACTGTGCCATTTAATCTTAGAAAGCGCCTTTGGGGACATTTAACACGAAGATGCTACGACCTTTTTTAATAGGTACTTTTCTATTTAATTGGATACTGTTTTATTACATCCGTTCCCAATGCCTTTTTTTGCGAAGGGAAACGCATCACGTGCCTTCTCTCGCCCAGGGTGAGGAGAGGTGTGTCGGACTCTTACTGACTAAAACCCCCGTTACTTCTCCTGATACCTTTTTGCCCTTGCTTCACAACCCCTGCTGAACGTCGGCCTTGTAGGGCACCGTTTGTGGTGGTCTATTGGCTCTTTGAGGCAGTTACCAACGCCTAGGATCGAAATAAGTATCTAAGCTTGAAGTAGCTCACTAACTGGAAACACATTTATTTATTCGAAACACACTTTATTTAAAAGCCAAAAACAAACAAAATCACACGAAAGGGTTCAGACAGCAAGATTTTAGAAGTTGAAGACATCACAGCAGTGCCTGAACCTGGCGAATGCATGGTGTTCAGCCATCGTTGTTGTGCTACCAGACATTCCGACAGACGCCGTCTACTCCCATTTTCTGTCCCTTCGGACAGTTATCAGGGACGTCGACAACACTCCTGGCTGTTGAAGATGGTGCAGTTTTGGGGTTGGAGTCGGCCATGCTGCAAAATTAATCAAATATTACTGTTGCTCTTGTTGTCTTTATGCTGGTAGACACAGGTGTTTCACGCTACCAGCGCTAGTCATTCGTTTTGTTACTGTTAAGGAAAATTAAACTAAAATGACAGCTGAAATTATATACATTATTTAAATACAAAAAAAAAACAAACGACGAGATCTTAAGTTCCTGGATAAATCTACGTGGTCACAAATCGATATTAGTTAAAAATGTTAAATTCTTTATCTATATCTATATAGATGTAGAGGGGTAATTCTGTAAATGCAATGCGATAAGTGATCGATACTGATGCCAAAAATGCAATCAGTAAAATTTTTGTTTGTCTGTCTGTCTGTTTGTCTGTATGTATGTTCCTTATAGAAACAAAAACTACTCGACGGATTTTAACAAAACTTGGTACAATTATTCTTTATACTCCTGGGCAGGTTAAAGGATACTTTTGATTA